CTGGGAGACCTCAATAGACCACTGAGTTCCCTTGGTCAAGCAGACATTTAATGTCTGGCTATTAACCACAAGTTTGGAGCTTTGAATCAACCAAGTGGTACCTTGAAGAAAGGTCTGAAGATCTATTCCTGAACACTCAGCCATGGAAAACCCCTGGACTACCATTCTCCTGACATCTCCTCCATGGGTTGCAATCAACTGCATGACTAGTTTCTTTCCATTGCAATAATCAAGGCAGGCAGGTACCAGAGGTTTGAACCAGGAAAGCAGGTGGTTTTGCTTTTACATTAAAGTAGAAGGCTTTATGAATTGACCACTGGTGGCTGCATGAGATGGGAAGAAATCAAGACTGACTTCAGGGTCAGGAAAAGAAGTACTTCTCACTGAAGGATGCAGGTTTGGCAGGTGGTTTTGCTTTTACATTAAAGTAGAAGGCTTTATGAATTGACCACTGGTGGCTGCATGAGATGGGAAGAAATCAAGACTGACTTCAGGGTCAGGAAAAGAAGTACTTCTCACTGAAGGATGCAGGTTTGGCTGAGAAAAAGTTCTGTTTGCACATACTCAGTTTAAGATCCTTCCTACACCTACTGTTGTTGATTGTGTTGTATGAGTCTGAGTTCATATGCACCATTAAGGAGAAGAGAGAAATACTTAGCATGCCTCTAATGGCTTCTTATTAGGGATGTGTTTAGCTTTTTGTCTATGTGAGGCTGTCTCACTATTTAAGTTTTTCTGCAGATCTAGCACTTAAGATTTAGGTGGCGATCCCATTTACAAGCTCTTCCTATCTTAGCAAGCGGCAGCTCAACTTTGGTTTAGAGGAAGTGAATTCTCCAGATGCTAATGCAGCATGCTTTCCCTAATAGAGACATTCTGGGTCCCTGAATAGAACAAAAAAGTTCTTTAAGTAGTAACTAAAAAAGGTGATATCTCTCTCTCAAGCTTTGCAGCATTAGAAATACTGCTTCTGCTTGGGTAAAATTAGCTTTCTGGTGTCTGGTGGCCGCAGCATGCCTGACCTGGCCCTCAGCTGGCCTGACCTGGCCCTCAGCTGGAAGCTCCAGACAGTGTAGAGCCTAAACCTGAGGCTCTATTAAAGCTGTCCCAGCAGAGATGGGTAGGGTTTCTGTGGAGATAGTTGGAGCCAATGAATTTCCTATTCCTGTGCCTAAAAGGGATATGGTTTTCTTTTTATAATTTAGGGCAAGTTGACTCACATGGAAAGGTGGTTGGAATTTATACTTATTTTGTCTTACAGTTGGATTTTCCTCCTCATATTTCATGGGGTCCAGGACAGTTTTGTGCCCTCTTGGAGGAAAAAAAAATGCTTTGAACATCCCTGGGCACAGCTAGGAACTTCTGAACTACATTAGAGACTTCTGACTCTGGTGGTTGGGGAACTGAGTCCACCTCAGTCCAGTCTAACAGCATTTGAACTTCTTTCTAAAGAATAACACAATGGATTCTTAAGTTTTAGAATGTTGGTCAGATTTCTTATAGATGTTGTTTTCAGGTGCCATTGGGGTCGACTGTAACTATAGTGATTCTGTGTACAACAGACCAGAACCTTACCCTGTCCTGCACCGTCCTTACAACCTGTGCTTTAGGCTCCAACCCATTGCTCCAGTCTCTGCGAAGCCTTTGGCTTGAAGTGCTCACTCTCTTTCATGACCTTCCTCAGCATGATGCTTTTTTCCAGGGACTGGCCCCTCCTTAGGGCATGCCTAAAGTATATGAGACCAAATGAGTCTGATAGTAATATAACAATAGCACATTTTATATTATAATTGTGTACCTCAATTTCCATTTCTTCCCAACCAGGAGTGTAGAGGATACAGTTTATTTACATTGAAAACATAACTACTGACTGTGAAAATGTGATGAAGACATTCTAACAATGCTCTCATTTAAATAAAGATCCCACTTTTATTTTAAAAACCTTTTAATCTACAGGTACAGGAGCCCTGGTAGTGGCGTAAGGCCTGACATATAGGCCTGCTGACCAAAAGATCTGCAGATCAGATCCACCATCTGTTCTGTGGGCAGTCCCCTCTTGTAATGATTTATGGCTGTAGGAGCCCAAAGCAGGGTCGGCCATTGAGCAGAACTGACCTGATGACACTGGGTAGGGTTTGGATGTTATCTGCAGACAATGCCAGAGTTGTGGTCTGTTAACACTTGGGACATTAGCCAGCAGTACTTAAATTTATTCTTTAAAAGCTTGTAGGTCCATCTTTCTTTTTTAATCACACAAAGACACCCTACCAACATTTATTAGCTCAGAAAGATACTTATGAGATGCAAAACTATTTACGTATAGGTAATATTTTTAGAAATTGAGCCAGTGTTTAGTACTCTGTGCAATCTTCAGTGCTGTCTTTGATTTTACAACATAACATATTTATTACAGAATTTCAGCTTCTTGCCAGGTGCTTTTAGTGAAGAAATTAAAGGAGGAATGAGGATACACGCCCTCCCTGATTGATGGTTTTTGAATTCTTAAGAGAAATGTTCCTTCATTTAGTTGTGTTCAGAAATAATGCTCTCTTCTGTTACAAATCAGAAGTTGAAATATGTGGACTTACTTAAGTGTTTTAATATTTGCTTTGCCCTCTCTCTCTATTCCTTAGAGTATTGGCTAATAGAAAAGAAAGACAAAAATGATACAAGTATATCCATTCTCTTGACTAATTAAAGATAGTAAAGAAGTGCACTTACCTGAGTCCAGTTTAATCTTACTTAACCATATAACATGGTTAAATTTTGAGAAGGGTAACATCCACTTCCGAAATAGCTTGCCTCCGGAAACTCTATGATCTTGGAGAAATGATGAAAGTCATACAGTGTTCAGGTCTTTCATTCATAGGGTTGCTATGAGTCATCTACAACTCTACGGCACTTAACAACAACAGCCACCTTGTCCTGACCATTTTGTTGTTAATTCAGTCAACCACGTACATGTTGTGCACCTTCTGTGGAAGGCACACTCCTAGAGGCTGGCATGGGAAACACCTGCATCCTTCCAGTCAAGGAGTGACTGAGTGACCAGGTGTCCTGAGTAGGGTGTTGGCAAAGCCCATGATGGCCATCAGAAAGTGTGCTGAGAGACTCTAACCAGTGTGCAAACAGTCTCCAAACATGCTGAGTTGATTCTGACTCAAAATGAGCCTGTAGGACTGGGTAGAACTTGCCCGTAGGGATTCTGAGGCTGGAATCTTGACACAGGTGGGTTGTCACAACTTTCTCCCACAGATGGATTCAAACTATCAACCTTCCAGTTAGCAGCCACTGTACCACCAAGACCCCTTACCATGTACAAGTACCCTGAAAGAGGAAATTCATCTCTGAGTCTGACTCTTTCCCCCTTAATATATTTATCCCTTAAATATCCCTTATTTATCATATAAATTGACATTTATCCCTTACTATATTGCTGCTTTTGGATGCTGTTGAACAACTCTGACCCTTGGAGGCCCATGGACACACAGATCTTGCCCATCCTTTGCCATCTGTGTTTATCATTGTGGTTGAATGCTGTGGCCACTGTGTATTTTGAGAGACTTCCCACATCTTCCAGCTGCCCAGATTCTCTGTGTGAGCCATGGAACTTCATTGTCTGACTTGGAAGAGTGCTTTATTGTACATAGGGCATTTCTTTCTAGTCTTTCTTAGCTTGGAGTTCCACTGATGCCTGTACACTGGACTGACCTTGCCAGTATTTCAGTACTTGTGACACAGCTCCCAGTGTCATAGTCGCATGCAAGCCATTGCAGAATGAGAAACTGACAGAGGAGTGGTTATTGTTGCCTTGTCCCATCGAGTCAAAACCGACCCACAGCTGACCCTCCCATGAATTTTCCGAGGCAGTAAATCACACAGGAGGAGATTGGCCATCCTTCTCTCATGGAGCAGCTGGTGGATTTGAATCACATACCTTTGGTTTGGCAGCCTAACTCATTACCTCTAAACCAAACCAGATACTCCTTGGAAAGGGAGAGATCACACACAGTGAGACAGACTGACACAGTGACTGCAGTAGTGGGCTTGAATGTGTCAGAGATGAGGAGGTGGCACAGGACAGGACAGGGTTCAGAACAGTCGTTCATAGGGTCACTGTGAGTTGTACTTTGACTTGACAGCACCTAACAAGAACAGTAGCAAGCTACCAAAGCTCCATAGATGAGTGAGGAAGCTGAGTAAAGCCCAAACCTTTTGCTGTCAAACTGGTTCTGAGTCTATAGGATAGACTAGAGTTGCCCACAGGGATTCTAGAAGCCCACCAGCTTCTCCAGGGGAGAAGGATGGGCAATCTCCTGCCATGTGATTAACTGCTTCTGAAAACTATAGCTGGAGTGTCAGCTCTGGGTTGGTCCCTATTCTATGGTACACAACAACAACAACAACAATCTTTATGGAAGTAGACTGCCACATCTTTCTCACATACAATGCTGGTGGGTTGAAGCAGCCAATCTTTCTGTTACACAGAGTGCTTACCTGGTGCTCCTGTGCACCAGAGCTCCTACACAGAATGTCTGACTGTCTCATGAATGCAGCTTTTTTCTCCAGCTTGTTTTAAAAGAGCTTAGAAAAGGTAAAACAAAGGAAGGACCTCTTTATCCACTTATCTGCTTATTCTCAAGAGAAACTACGAGTTTGGAAATAGTTTGAAATATGAATACTTCTTTGTAAAGTGCTCCCTGTCTAGTCTTATTTTCAGCAGTCCCTTTCTCTTTCAGTTTGCTTCCTAAGCAGCCTTCTGTCCAGCTGATAGTGGTGACTTTGATGAAGTTCTCAGCATTCATTTTATTAACACAAACACACATGCACACACACTCCTGTGGAGGATCTGCAAATCCTTCCAAATGGCTGCACCATTGATTAGCTTGGAGGTTTTCGCCATCTTAAATTGTTGGAATTCTAAATTTGACCAAGCAATGCCTCGCTCCTCAGATTGAAAACCTCCTTTACAATGTAACACTCTTTCCTTTTCTCTTTAGAGAATGATTGACTCCCTGGAGGATGAGAAGGCAGATCTCACCTTAGCCTTGACCAGCCGGCTGCTGGACCATCAAGCGCTTGTGCAGGTGAAGGCCAGCCTCAGCCTAGAGGTGGCCACCTACCGGTAAGGACAGACCCTTTTCTGCCCTGGAGTCTGCGGTGCAGCGTGGCCACAGCACGGAAGGAGACTGTCCATCTTTCTCCCACAGAGCATCTAGTAGATATGAACCTCGTTCCTTTGTATTGGCAGTGCAGCTTCTTACCCATAGACCACCAGAGCTCCCTCTAGGGTAGTTATCCTGAAGTCAAAGAACTTGATAAACAGACTCTGATGCTAATCTTTCAGTGGAAATGGGGTTCTTCGAAGCCAAAATAGCAGTCAGAACCCAGGGATGTGACGCAGCAGTGTGAGAGGCAGATAGAGTCAGATTTCCCAGGTTCAAACCCCAGCTCCACCAGTTTCTAGCTCTGTAATATCTAAAGTATGTTCCCTGTAAGCTGTACCCAATTCCTAGGGTTCAGCATGTGGAAAGCTCTTATGATGCCCAGGACACAGCACACAGTAGGTAGAGTATAATGCTACTTTTGTTCCCCCATCTCCTGAGATCCCAGGTCCGTGATCTGAATGCACCCTTGCTCCTCCCCACTGTGCCCTGGTCCCCTCACTGGACCATGCAAATCCAGGGGCTCCACAGAAGCCTAGGATCTAGCTGAGCACTTCCACAGCTACTTCTGGAACTTTTTGGTCACAGTTTTGTACCAACAAAACTGAAGTGTCCTGCGTCACTCTGATGTCCACTGAAGGTATTTGACTGGTGGATGCTCATGGTCCAGATTGCGGCTCTTTACTCTTTGCTTTTCTCAGCAGGGCCTGCAGTGACATCAGTAGAGAGAGCAGGTGAATAGGGTGCTAACGTCACAGCAGAGAACACCTTCCTGTGATTTGAGGGTTAAAGTCTTCAGAAAAAGACATTATTCTGGGAATTATGGAAGCTCAGAAAAAGAGAAAAAGACCTTCAACAAGATGGACTGACACAGTGACTGTAGTAGTGGGCTCAAGCATATCAGAGAGGGGGAGGATGGTGCAGGACAGAGCGAGGCTTCATAGGGTTGAGAGCACATATGTTGGAAACCTATGACAAATAAAGACACACAACTCACAGACGAGACAAGACTGCAGCCACAACACAAATGACAGGACAAGAGACAGGACAAGGACTGCAGCCCCGAAGGCCTGCGTCGCTTTATTATTTACACCTTTTAGAAACAAAGAGGTAGTTCACAGAGAAATGGAAACCTTAAGGAATACATCATAGAGCCCAAATGGGCTGGGTACAAGTAGAAACATGATTTATCTCACAGGGCCCAAATGGACTGGGATGTGAGTTCCCAGGAATCAGGACAATAGGCTTTTGACAAATAAGCAATGAATAACATGTTGTGCACAATCTACTTCTGAATAAAACTTGCTACAACTAATATAACTCTAACTGCTGAGAACAAAGGAGTATTCATTTATAGGGAAGAGTTACTTTTCTTGGGCTAGCATGCAGGACAAGTCCCTTATCTGTGTGCAGAACTAGGGAACAAGTCTCTTCCCACACTCTATCCTTAGGATAGGTGCCTGGAGGACATCTTTGTGCAGATGCCAGTGCATGGGCTCCATCACACGTAACAACAACCTGGGTCAAATCAGTGGGGCTTTGATGGTCCTCCCTTCTGAGAGACGCACTGTGTCCTGCCAGGGACTGGTGGTCAGCTGTCAGAGAGAAGGGGTGGAAGACAGTGATTGGCCTGCACTTCCACTTCCCGAGGTCCAGCCCCAGCATGCTCTCTGGAACTCCCATGGTGTGAAAAATCAGTAGAGTAAATTGGCAGGGTATGCAAACACATACTGAGTCACTCACTCACTCATTACCGTTGAGTCAAAACTGACGCATAGCTGACCCACCAGTGGGCTTTCACAGCCTGTAAATCTCATGGGAGGAAACTGCCCATTTTTCTCCTGCAGAGTAGCTGGTGGATTCAAACTGTGTGAGTAGGTAGAAAGCACAAGAGAGTTTCCTACAGTCTGTGTAGGAGAGTCTAGAAATGGGTGACTTAGTAAACCACTGGGCTTTATGTGTGGTGGGGTGAGAGAGCTTTACTCATACTTTTTTTTCAGTTGCAAATGACAGGAACCGTTCTCAATCTAGCTTAAGTCAAGAGGACCTTAGGTGGTCCAGGGACTACTAAAATACTTGTTGCTGACTTCTCTAGTATTTTTCTTGGAAGCTCTTCTCTCACAGCTCCTAAGCCATTTACACCCTTCTCAGCCTTGGTCCCCTAGTAGAAGGAGGAGCCTTTTCCTCAGAGGTTCACGTAGAACTCTAGTTTACTGAATCCATTCCTGAGCTGTCCCTGGTCAGAGGTATGGATTGCTCTGGGGCATGGAGATAGCCATATGGGCTGAGATTGGAGTGTGTGGAGCATGGAGGGGGTCATACGGGTTAAGACTAGAGTGAGAGGAACCCCAGTTGGTCACCAATGCAGAGCGCGTGTGAGGCAGGCATAGGAAGCAGCTGTCTCTGCCAGCACTCCGTCTCTCTGGGTGAGTGAGGAATCTTCATCTGCAGCAGTAGGATTTTCCCATCTTTGTTGAGTGGTTCCATGGATCAGAGGCTTGTTTCTCTGGATTGTCCAGCCATTTCTGCTTCTCTCTATCTTGCCTTTCATTTCTGTCCTGAAATGGCACAGTGTACAGGCTGGTGAGTTATCTGGGGCCCCAAGGACTTCTGTTTTGGCTGTTACTCACAGCTTCCTGGTCTGGCTGGTTTTAAGGGCATCGATTGTGAGTCATTTTGCTCGGTATCAGCAGTGGGCCAGCCTGCAGGAACAGAGCGTAATTGCTTGTGTTTTGCTGACATTTCCTGAAGTCATTTATAGATTGACGTGACTGTCTCATTGGAACTTAGAAGCCATTAGTGCTTTAAGGAAGGGAGTGAGAGACTCCACTGTGCATCAGTCTGGGGGCTGGCCCAGCGGCAGCTCCTCCTAGCTGTGGGTCACTGCATAGGTTTTCAGCAAGCTTACCAGGCTCAGGGTCCATAACAGACAGAGACAGGCAGACAGCAGAACTGAACGCACTTCTCTGTAAGGAAATCTCCAGTGCCTGGAACTTTCACCACTGATGAGTACTGTGAATATAAACCTCACTTGTCACTTGCTGCCACTCAGTTGATTCAGAATCATGATGATTTCATGTGTACAGTGTAGAACTGCTCCATAGAATTTTCTTTACTATTCATTTACTCACTCACAGTTCTTTTTGTAACAATAATTACCACTGTATAATGCCATTAAATACAATGCCCTATCTCCTTGGAGGAAGGATAGTGCAACTTCACCCCGCATACTTAGGACATGTTAGGAGAGGCTATTTGGTGAACCTGATCCAGACCACATTCTTCGCCATTACTTCCTATGCATCAGAGAGCTGGACAATTACTAGAGATGACAAAAAAATAATCAATGTGTTTGAGTTGTGGTGCTGGAGAAGAGTATTAAACATATCATGGACTGCTAGGAGAATAAACAGGGCTGTCCTGGGGATGGTGAAACCAGGTTGCTTCTTGGAGGCAAGGATTTTGTAACTCTGAAGATTTACAAACTTTGGGCTTGTTGTAAGGAGGGACCAGTCCTTGGAGAGGGACATCATGCTTGGAAGGGTGGAGAGACTGCGCTGGAGAGGAAGACCCTGGATAAGATGGACTGACAGAGTAACTGGGTTAAAGGTGTGTCGGAGATAGACAGGCTCAGGATAGGGCAGAGCTATTGTGCACATAACAACAATTCCTTGAAAAGGGACGTCATGCTCAGAAAGGTGGAGGATCAGCAAAAGAGAGGAAGTCCCTCAACAAGATGGATTGACATGATGACTGCAGCAGTGGACAAATATGAAAGGACAAGGTAGTGTGTGATCCCTCTGGATATATGAGCTAGCCAAGCACATGCACAAAGACAAGCGTGCACACATGGCTATTCAGAGCTGGGAGGATTGGAGAAGGCATAAGGCATTAAGAAAGAAGGAAAGAAAGACAGACCAGCTGGTGATAGGGACTGCAACTTAATGTGAACATTAGAACTTAGAGAGGCAGAAGGCAGACAGCAAATCACTCATCGCTGTACTGCAGGTGGTGATTTAGAGTCAGTCACCAAAGGCTGTGCCTCCTGAGAGGTGAGCCTGGTCTCCTGGAAACAGTCCTACCTGTGGACGAAGGCAGGCCCTGCCTGTGCTCTCTCTCGTCCTTATGACCCTAGTCCAGGGGACTGCCCATTCTGAGCTGGAGATGCTCAGCCCCTGATGGCAAAATTACGAGGTATGTTTCTAAAGTGTTTGCACAGTGTTTGTGCTACTGTGAAGGAGAGTGGTTAGAGCAGAAATGCTCAGAAACTGAGTAAGGCGTGGTTCTCACGTGGAGGACTCAGATGAGCAATGGCCCAGGACTCAGGTTTCATTGATGAGGGTGGGAACTGCTGGCCAGGCCCTGCAGTTCAGAGAGTGGCATGGACCAGCAGCCTGGACCTCCTGAGGATCCCAGACCTGGAACTACAGAACCTCAGCCACCCCGTCGTCTGGGCTGTGTTTAAGCAAGATTCCTGTGCACATCACTGGGTGCATGGCTGCCCTCAGGCAGCCCCACCGGTGAGAAGCCTGTCCATGGGAGCCTGGAGGAAAAGACAGAGGAGAGAGGATACATGGATAGTACAAGTTCACAGGGGGCCCCACTTGCAAGTGCTGTCTGTTTGCAGATGGTGTGAGTGTCCTCACAGGGCCACCCTGGACCTGCCTGCCATCACAAAACCCTTGGGGCCAGCTGGACAGACCACACTTTCAGTCAGCAGAGATATGGATCAGATAGCATTAAATCAGAAGATTTGAGCATTATGGATGAACAACATAGTTCCATCTTTTCAGTCTCATTTTTTTTTTACTCATGTTAAAATACTTAAAAAAATACTTATCTAGACTTTCCTACCATATTATCGGGAAAAATTTAAACAAGAAAACTTGGAGGAATTTGATATTCCCATATAGCCCCACCTACATTCTTCATGGAATGTGTTTTACTAAGTCATCCTATC